TTTAAAAATAATAATATAATGAGTAGATTAAGATTTATTGGTTCAAACTTCAGGAAGAATATACTTGATTGCAGTATCCTGTTCTGCAATCCCTCTTTAGCCTCCAAATTTAAGAGGGCATGCAGTGCAATCCCCTTGCCCTTTCTAAAGTTCTGAACCTGCAATTTAATACCTCCAGATGTGATACAATTTTTTCTATTCATTATTTCAGTTGTGAATGATACACATACTAAAATATTATAATAATTTCAGGAAAATGGTCACAAAGAAGACATTCTTTCTGTGGCTTTCTGTCCACCCAATCTTCTGGCCACGTCCAGTTATGATGGAGAGGTCATTGTATGGAACATGGTGTCTGGACATATCTTCTGCCATCTGTTTGCTCCAGTACCTAAGGGATACAAGGACCAGTCATGTAGGTGTTGTGTTTGTAGACCAGAAATATCAGTCAACTTTGACTTGAGATAAGTCAGTGGTAGTCTAAATAAATGATTGTCATATAAATAGAATGAAATGGCTAATGTTTTAGACTAGTAGTTTAATAAGTAGACTACAGCAGATTGATTTTGAATGAAAGAGGTCAAGAATTAAGTCAAAGATCATCAGTATTTTCTTTGCTAACATGCAGCTCAATATGACTTATCAGAAAATGTGACATTGACAAAAAGTTGCTGTTTATCTCTGCAAATTGTCACTTAACTATTGTTTTACATTTTGTTGAAAATATATACATAAGGAATTACAGTTATGATAAATCAATTTTTGAACAAAGAAGCTTGTCAGGCTGAAAGGGAAGACAATTTTAACATACATGAACAAATCCAAAAACAATAATTCTTGCAAAATAACAAAACTGTCCATGTTTCAGTGGATGGTGACTTGAGCATCAACAAGCTGTTGTTTTTGAGATCCCGAGCATACAAGAAGGATGCAGCATCTCTCATTGCAGGAGGACCCAGAGGTTACCTCCACTTCTGGAATGTATTCCACGGAGGTTCTCTGTACGCCCAGTTTACAGGGGTAAGATATTGTGTGTGGTTAGTTCAGTGGTGGAGCATGAGGTTGACAATTGAGGAAAATGGCTTGGAAAAAATCTGGATGTATTAGAATCTTTTTGCACCAATGGTTTGAGAATATTTAAAAAGAAAGGTTGTCAAACCTGGAGCTCATATACATTATACGTATTAGGTAAATTGCTCAGGCAAGAAATTTAAAGGGAAAGTTTACAAGGAGATATCTTCTGCAGTGTATGAAAGTACAGACCAAAAAGTTTTGTATGTAACGAATAACAGGCCTTTACATTTGAAAGATGGCTTGAATTTAGTAATGAGTTGCAATAATAACTATTAATCCTGGCATTTTTATCCAATTTTTCAATACTTCTCTATAGACCAAACACACAGGTGCTATGGTCACAGCCATGGAGTTGTACAAGAATGACACCATTCTGTTCACTGCTGACAGTGTGGGGTTCATCTACTGCTGGAATGTGGAAGGCTACTGTGCTAAGAGCAAGGCAACTGACTCACCAGAGTGTAAGTATGGACAATATATGAAAAACATAATTTCATATATTTCACAATTGTGAAAAATATTATAATATTGTATAATTTATTTTATTGCATTTCATTTTATCTCCATTTCATTTCATTTTGTTTTGTTCTGTTTTTTATTGTTTTATTTTATTTTGAGATTTTCTAAAAAGAGAATAAAGACATTTAGCAAAGTAAATGAACTGTTTTCTTTTCCAGTGATAACCTACTGGCGTGGTCATGTAGAGAGTATAACCAATATAGATGTGATTGAAGAACACAAAATGATGATCAGCTCTTCTCTAGACTGTACAGTAAGACTCTGGACAATAGAAGGACATTATGTTGGTAAGGAAACAGTGTAAAAACAGGAAAATTTGTGAATTCAAGGATTTTGCTGAAGGGAGGGTTATATTTCAAAACTTCCCTCCTTTAGATAAAAATTTACCCTCTCCACTATAAAGAAAGCAAGCATATCATATTGTACAAGACCAGCTATTCAAAAACTTAAAATCATCCAGTTACGGCAGTATATAATTTTTAAATTCACACTGAGTATTATTTTCACTGACATTTTCTTTTGATAATTAAAAACTAGTAATATATAGCATTTAAAAATGGACAACACTATGTTCACCAAGCTGATCATTTCCTCCTATCCCACACCAGGTACATTAGGCCAGCCAGACCCCTGGGATGTGTTCAACCCCAATACCTTCCAACACCCCATGGTGCCGTATGACGTCCTGGTGGACCCCAAGAGCTTGCCATCCCACCCTGTCATAGCAGGGAAACTGAACTTGGAGGAGGTTCTACATGGTGATAAGAAGAAAGATAAGGTAAGTTGTCCAGGGATGGGTCTAAAAGTTTAGAGTAGTTTTTGGGCTATACATCTTAAAACTGTTAAACGGACCCCAGGTTCTGGTTTCACAAGAAAACTTCAAACTAAGTTTAATCCTAACTTTAAGACCAGAATTTTGTTTACATTCATCCAAGGTAAATTGGAAGTATTCTAATTGCATAATGTATTGCACATGATTTATAAGATGAAAAACAATTAAACAATGCTACTAGTAACTAATATATTTAGAAGAGTGATCAGTATGCCCATTTACCTGACATTTTGGCTAAAAGTTATGCCAGCTTCAGTTCAAGCTCTTGTGTGAAACAGCAGTATGTTTATAAAACCCAGCTCAGTAAACATTTTTTAATTGAAATGAAAAAATGAAAATGGTGCAAATCCATTTAGCATGTGTGTTTATTGAAATTTTAATAAAAATTTTCCTTTTGTCTTTCCAATAGACTATTGATAAGTACAGTATATTATTTAACATGTCTTATCTGAAAATCAGTTAATCAAAAATTTCCTGGTGACCTTTCCAGGTAGAAGAGAAGATACCACCAGCCCCTGTATATGGTGAACAGACTTACTTTGTGGATGATGCCACTATAGCAGAACAGATCAAACAGAAACCCTTCAATAAGGGAACAGGGAAAAGGTAAGTATTCAAATAGCAAATATGGTACACTTTAATATCAGTTACAATGACCTTGTATAAATGATAAACACTGTGTGGTTACTGAAAAAAAAACGGCATTGAATTTGTATTTATTATTATCAGTAATTTTTTTTTTTTGTAATTAAATATTCAATATTTTCAGAGTCAGGCATGAGCGTATGAAAGCGCGACAGATGAAGATTGATCGTGATGGTCCCAGTGAATACAGACTTCTACAGACATTCCCCCTGGTGGAAACTCCAGACATTAAACCCCCTGAGATATCGGGACACAATGACGACCCTTTCAATTTTTACGATGATTGAGCATTTTGAGAGACAGCCAGCCAGGGTTAGGATAATTGAAATAATGGTGAATAGAAGGTGGAATACAGGCGATTCCAGAGCTGTCCTTGGTAGCACTGAATATACCAGCAGTTACACAGGCAATAGCAGTTCCAGTTGCAAGGGATATTTTCAATCCAACATGATGAGTCACTAAATTGAAAAAAAAAAAAACAAGCTGTTTTAGGGACAGGTTAACTCCAGTCAACTTCATGTTAAGCACCTTTCTTTTGTTTATTTGTCATCGCATGCTTGCCATTGCTTCTCTCCTTGCTTGGACCATATATGTACATGAGGATTGTTTTCAACAATACATTGGCATAAGATACAGCTTAATATTGCATAAGTAACAAATATGAAAATAATTTTTACATGAAATTGGACCACATTATTACTGTTTTTCTAAGCTTTGTCACACGATTGTTTGGAATTTAAAAAAAAATGTCACCAGTTCACAATTGGATTTGGGAAGCAATCAAATTTTACAGGAAAACATACAAATCTATTTGTTACATAATTCGACAAAATGGTTGTTTTTATGCTGTTCTTAACCAATGTGGAAAAAGTCCTGTACTGATAAATCAAACCACTTCATGGGAGACTTGGATTTACTAGTAAAAAACAGTAGAACTTTATTGCACTGCAGTTTCATGTTACCCTAAACAAGTTCCTGGTGTAGGATGTTTTGCAAAAATGCATAACAACCTTTTATTCAGTTCTTGATAGCTATTGTTAATGCACTGCCACTGCATAATATACAGATTTTAATTAGGTATGAAAGTAAGGGAAAATTAAACGAAATTTGAGATTTTATCATGTTATTATGCTGACATTAATCATGTCCTTCAAGTATAAATGTTTGTGATATATTATTTTTTTCTGTGATATACACCCACACATATATATGTACACATTAGAACTGTTCCGTCCAGATTTTTTTGTTAAGCCAAAGATTCCTCTTAAAAACTAATGCCACTACTAATTTTTTTCTAATATTGGCCATTATTATATATGTATGTTAAATGTTTTGTACATTATTTGTGGTACCTTTTTTTAAGCAATTGTGATAATTGCTGGGTTATTTCATTTTTGTACTTCATTAGCTTTTGTTCACCACCTGGACAAAGAAAGTGAAAATCAATTTTCAACAATAAAAGAAATTTTTCATATAAAATATGGTTAGTCATTAATTGTTTGATGTGTCAATTAAGTCAGGATCGAGCTGCTGAATTACACGTAAATGTTCTTTTTTTATTTACGCGTGTTTGAAATATTTAAGTTTCAAGGTAAATACACCAAGTAATGCAGTCATCAACATGTCCACGCCTGTGGCGCAGCTAGGTTTACGGATCAATCTTTGATGCCTACAGAGGATCAAGACCCTAGGCGTACCTTTTGACAGATAAATTTGATAAGTTGACTAATTAAACAACGTACACGTCGTACCCTTATTTTGAGGATTTCATTTTTCCTTTCAGTGGAAAAATGCATTGGATATTGGCGTGGTGTGTGGAAGAAGAAATTTAACATTTGACAGCAGGGCAATCCTTAATTTGAAAAAAAAAAATAAATAAAAATTAAAAAATAAAAACGAATCACCGTGAATTACGTAAATTTAGCTCATAAAATACACCATAATGGACTGAAACTAATTACTATGGTAACAAAATTGCTGTTTTTAACATTTCGCATACAACAGTTACAAATGTAACGAACATATGCAATTTTTTTAATTCATAAATTTTAATGAGCATAAAATGATAAAATTAACAAATTTTAGAATTTTAGTTTGATTATTTATTTCGTGAGCAAAACCCAGAATGACTGCATATTAGCACCAAGGTCCAGTCATAAATAGCGTTATTTGTAAATGAGCATCTCATGATCATATTGCCTACAACATGTAACACCTAACTAACCTGCCACAGGCCACAGCTATCTCACTCATTTTTTATGTAGATATAAGCGGCTTCCGGTATGTTTGAATTTGCGCATGTCCGCAAAATACTTCCGCTTCACATGTATTCGTTGTGAAGAAAAACAAACTGTTTACAATGAGATCTTTGCACGAACCATACTGACATTCTTAAATCAAAGATAAGATAGAGCCAAGAATGCAATATTGCTGCAGTTCAGTGAGAATTAGACCAGTCTGAAGATGCATAACTGAGAAAACGTTTATTTTTTTTTACAACTTCAGGGAACTGATTCGAGCTACTGAAAAATGGCGTCAAGTTTGAATACGTCGCTGGTGACTAGTCCCTCGCGCAGTCGACTATCACGCTCACGAGGACCAAGCAGTGCAGATTTCCTTGATCAGATACGGCAGTTGGAGATGGAAGGTGAAAGATTACGCCGTGGAAGTGATCCAGGTAACACTTTAGCACGCTATATTAGACTGCCATGACGTTATGATTAAATAGTAACTAATTTTGCCATTTGTCTGCTATAAGAATTTGTTGATTCATGTTTCCATTTTTGGCTTGAGATATTATGCTGACACCAAGCATGGGCTTCTAAAGTATTTTCGAGCAATATCAAAAGCAATTTCTGTTCATTTTAACTGCTCACTCATTTGGCCCCTCCCCATTATAATATTTGATGGATACCATATCAAAGAAATGGCCCAGATACCCCCAAATGTCAATTGCAGTGATCATATTTCAACAGTAATTCACTGAACAATTTGGTATGATCTGGTTTTTAATTGAATTTTCAAAAAAAAAAAATGATAATAATAAAAAAAATAATAAATTAATTAGATAAAATAAAAGCTAACAACTGTAATTTTATATTATGTACTAGAATTCCATACCTAAAGTATATTTTACCTTGTGACCTACTGATGACTGCCATAAATTAGTTTGTTTCATAGAAATTAATGATCCATTCCTGAATACATTCTTTTCTGCTCAACCATTGCCAGTCACCCAGATAATTTTCTCTGCTACTGTATTTGAATCGCAGGCCATTGTATAAACATTCATTCCTGGCCTTGTTGACTCAAGGCTTTGTTTGTCATATACTTGGGGTTAAAGCAAATAATTGAATTAACTTAAGAATGAGGCATGCCTCCTAAATTGTGCAGTTTAAAAGCAACTGCCGTATAGCCTTTTTTTATGACTTGATATCTCACATGACATTGTATACATTTCCAGTAGCTTACTGGTAAAGCCTTCGGGCACAGCATGGAAAAAGTGATCAGTAATTTTTTTCAAATTTTGCATTTATTATTAGAAGTTATTCTAAAATTGCTTAAAATATCATTTTGAATTAAATCTTGTTTTTAATAGTATTATCTTTCATTTTTTACCTTTATATAGAAAGTCCAAAATTGTCATGCATATTCCATGTGCTTCTACAAAAGGTTACAATAATTATACAATTAAAATTTTGCATTATCTTTAGGATCTCCATCTAAATACACAATGAATGGAGGAATAAGTCAGGTAAGTGTTTACTCATTTCAATCTTTCATTCCATAAATAACCTTATGAAGTAACTAGAAGAACTGGGAATGGGCCACAAGTTTTGACAAAAAAAAAGTTGTCCAGGAAACACTTGAAATCCAAGGCCACTTTGTATAAAGTTTTTCAGCTTTAAAAATCAACAACAAAATCTTTGTCTTGGGGGGGTTGGGGCACAAGTCTCAGTCAAATTGATATTAGGGAGATGTGAGCTCATCCACTGTGTGTTTTACAGCTGTCGACAGGTGCTGCCCCCTCTGTGACACATTACTATGAACCCAGCAGTAGTTACCAGCCTCCTTCACTAGCTACTGTAACAGATATTACCACAGACCAGAGAAGTATAACAGATCTCAGGTGAGACCAATATTTCTCTATCTAGAATGCTTAAGCATGGGTTAACAGTAAGGTCTTTCTTAACTCACTTGCCTAGAAACAGCTACTTTTCTTGCTCAAAAAGATGTATTAATATATATGATTTACTTGCATAACAAACAAACAAAATAAAATGATAAACTAGAAAATAATAAGAGAACAGTTTCATTAGCTCTGTATGTATAAATTCAAATTACTGTTTTTCTTTTTATCAAGAGCTTGTAAAATATGTGGGTATTACCTCCAATATTTCTGTGACTGTCAGTCACCATCATCAGGGAGTAAATGACTAGGGTCATTTCACCTGGAATGAAAATCCAGGTCAATTGCCCCTAATCACTGGCCTTGTGTTGTAACTGTTACTTGCTCCCCCCGGGGCTCCTCTGCATCCCTCTGGAGCACCGTGAGGTAGATAGCTGGTAAATCATACCCCCCTTGTCTGTTCAGGTCTGGTTGTTTGGTCCTGATGTGTACAGCTTCTGCTATTTTTCTTTGGAATGTCCAGTTTTCCCTGTCTATCACTTTCAGGCTGTCAAAGTCTATGTGGTGACCTGGATGTTTGCAGGTATGTTCTCCAAGGGCTGATTTCCAGTTGTTTTTGGCCACTGAGTCTTTGTGTTCTTTCATTCTTGTGGCTAATGGTCTTCCTGTCTCGCCAATGTATTCTCCTTGGCAGGTTCCACATTTGACTGAATATATCACACCACATTGCTCTCCTTGGGTTAGAGGATCCTTGGGCTTCACTAGTGCTTGTCTCAGCGTCCAACCTGGCTTATGGTGGAGTTTGATGTTATATTTTTTATAAACCCGGCTTAGTTTTTCTGACAGACCTTGGCAGTATGG